TAGATAAGTTTTTAATTTGAATAGTAGATTATAATATGTTAGAAGTTAGTATGATTCTATAAATAAATAGTTTTTAAGAAGAAAGAGGTTATTAGAAATATATATATATGCTTCAGCAAGATTGAAGTTAAAAGAGAATATTGTTTTATAATTAAAGTTGAGAGATTTTAGATAAGTAAGAAAGGATTAAATAGTTTGATTATTATTTAAAGGAGAAAGATTAAAGTATATTAAAAATTTATTATAGCATAGTATTAGTCTTTGTTGTTTCAGTTATATTAGTAGTGAAGCTACAATACAAATATCTTCTACAGGATTAGAAGGAATTAGTAAATTTGTAGAAGACAAGCTTACTAAAAAGAAAGAGTTTGTTTAATTTCTAAGAATAGTAAATCTACTATTTCAACTAATTTGAAATTGATATTTAATTTTTCTTTCAGAATCTTCTTAGCTTCTAGTATAGCTATTGTTTTGTAAAATTCAGTTATTGTTTTATAAGTTGAAATATTGTTAAGTATAATGTTATAGTATATAATTATTTATACTAGAAAATATGTATCAATTAGTTGTTTTGTTAAGAATTTGATATCTTCTTCTTTGTTAAGAAGGTTTATTTTGTGGTTTTGCATAGCCTAATTATAATAGACTATTAGATATTAGTAAAAGTAATAGTTTTTGTATTTAGTATTTGTTTTAACTTTATTAGTTTTGCAGACATGTTCTTTTGCCTTGTTAGCTAAGTTATCAAAGAGTTTAGTAAGTATTTTAGCTTTTAAAGTAGCTTTATATTCTCTATTAATATAGAAGATAGAGAAATCTAGAGATAAAGATTTATACTGTTCACTCTCATCAGATGAGTAGACAACTTTTAAGTATTTTATAACTGCTTTGAATAGTTGGTAAGTATTATATTATTTGGTTTGTTTTATTTTTATATTTCTTTTGTTTTTAGTATTTAGTTTTTCTAACTCATTAGTTGCTTCAAGATATTTGCATTTTTTATTTGTATATATAAGAATATAATGATTAGAGAAATGAGTTGCTTCTATTTGGCATTCATATCAAGTATTTGGTTTTTTTATTTTATATTTTTCTGAGAGAAGTTTGGCTAAGTGAAAAATAAGATATTGTCTAATTTGATACTTAAGATAAGTAAGTATTTTTTGTTTATTAATAGGTTTGTTAAATTGGTATAAATAAGCAGAGAAGATTTTCTCAAACTATTTGTTGAAATTGTTTACTGAGTTTTTTAAGGATAGAATATTGAAGTTATCAAGAAAAAGTGTTTTAGAGAGGTTAAATAGTATTTTGATATTAAATTCTAAGTCAGAAAAGATAGTGAAGTATTCTTTTTCTTGATCAGTACATTTGATTATAAAGTCAATTTTAAACCTTTTGAATCTAAGTTTAAAATCTTCACTAAATTTAGTATAATTAATAGACTAAAAGTTATTAGTTAGATAAAAATAAAGTTGTACTATATTTAAACAGATTTGAAGATAGTTTTAAATTTTGTATAGTAGAATAGTAATAGAAAATACAAAAATCTCTCTATAGTTTATCTTAGTAAATAGAATAGTCATAAATTTTAGTAGTAAGTCTTTTAGAGTAGATTTAATAAGATCAAAGTGAATTATTGTATTAGAATTAATGTTTAGATCTGTTTAATAAATGAGTTCTGCTAGAAACTTAGGTCTTTAGCTAGCTATATGTATATAAAGTATTTGAACAATGTTTGTTCTAAAGTAAAGTTAAAAAAGATTTTCTTTAAAGAAGTTAAACAGTTAGAATGAAAGCTTAGTTTGAAGTTTAGTATTTGGTTTTATTTCTTCTGTAATTGAGAAGTTAGCAAACTAGTTATATACTAGATTTGGTTTGGGTTTGTTAGTTCTATTATAGAGTTTTGATAAGTCCTTAGTTAAAGTATTTGAGTAGAAGGAAGTTTTATTAGAAATAGATTGAATTAGAGTAGTATTAGTATTTTTCTTTTTTGAAATTGATATTTTTGATAAATCTAGTTCTATAATATCTGAGTTTGTTAATAGAGTTTGATCTTTAGTTTAGTTATCTTTTAAAGGAGAAGAGAAGTTAATATTTATATCTAACAAGATTTTTTCACAGTAAGAGTAGTATTAGATTGTTGCTGAGTATTAGTATTAGTTGTTAGGGTTAAAGGAGTTAGAAGGAGAAAGAGTAAGTTTTAGAGTTGTTGTTGTTTTTGGAAGGTAGAGGTCAGATTCTTTCTAGCAGAAGAGAAGTCATAAGTTACTGATAAAGTAGAGCTGAAGTTAGTAGCAGAGGAAGAGTTAGTAGTATTGTTAGAAAGACAAGTATAGTAGTAGATATTATTTTTATGAAATGTAGTATTGTTAGTTAGTTTATAGTTATTGTTAGAAAGTTTGTATCTGATTAGAAACCAGTATTTTGTGCAAGTATGTTGGCAATAGGTTGGTATAAGAGAAGGTGAAATACTTTTAGTAATTTTAGCAAGGTTTTGAAAGAAAACTTTAGTTTTTTTGTTGTTTGAGTTTGCAGGAAGAGTAATGAGGCTAGAGAGTGAAGTATTATATTCTGTATTGTTTGTAGAGATAAAATTGGTATAGTAGATTTTACAGAGACATAGAGTAATAGCTAAGATTTTAGAAGCAAAAAGAAAGTATATAAGTTTGATATTACTTTGAAAAGCTTTAGTAAGACAAGAAATTAGTTTGCTTTTTAGTAAAATTAGCATAATATTCTTTAGATCTTCTTCATATAAAGCTAGTTCAAAAGTGTCAAAGCACTTTTTATAAAAGTAATTCAAGTTAAGAGTATCTGGAGTTTCACTAGTTAAAGTAGATATATTAATAGTAATGAATTGTAGTTATATATTTAGATCTAATGAGATTGAAAAGAGTTTTACAAGGAAATATAATTTGTTTCATATAATAGTATATGGCTTGTATAACTTGTATTACTATATAATCTATAACTTAAGTAGCTAATATAGCTTGTAGCTAGTATAGCACAAGTCAGATACTACTTGTGTTGTATAGAGTATGAGTATATAGTGCTGAGTTAAAAATAGAATAGATTTTGTACTATATGCAGTACAAATTAAAAATAAAACAAATAAGTAATTATGTAATTTGTGTTAAATTAGTTTGAACTTAGAAAGGAAATAGTAAAATTGGTATAATTATCAGGTTGACCAATGATTCTAGTCAGAATATCATATGATTTAAACTCAGATTTGAAGAGAGAAAAAGCAAAGGAAAAAGAAAAGAAAATAAATTTAAGAAAAAGCCTTAAGGTGGTTTTTTAAGGCTAGTTTACTGAGTTTTGATCCGTTTTTGATAAAATTTATACTAGAATTAAGCTAGTAATGTATTAAATATAACTTTCTTAATAGAGAAGGGTTGTTAGCTTAATAGAATATTGTAAAATTTTTAGAAGAGCTATTTGAAAGTTGTAGTAGAATAACTTAATGTATTTGGGTCTGAAAAGTATAAAACTAGACTGCTCTAGAGCAAAATTCTGTGTAAAACAATTTTGCTTAGTAGCCAAAATAATGTTTACTTAATAAAATATTAAGTTATAGCAAAATATTTTTGAGAAGTTTTAGTACAAATAATCTACAAAAAGATTTGGTTTAATTTGCTTATAAATCTATTTTTTTTATTCTTTTTATATTAAGTTAAAAGAGCTAAATACTTAATAAATTTTTGAAATTAAGAAAATATTTAAAAATGTTAATATTATAGTAAAATTATTATTTAAATTTTTAAATAAAATTGAATATATTGAGAACTGAGCCAATGGCGAGTTAGTCACTCAACAATCCAATTTCTTGTATAACCTACAGTAGGCTTATCAAAAAGAGGCATTTAGATTTGGTCAGTGGTTTGGTGTCTGTAGATAAGTATTTCTTATATCTGGGTTCTTTCTGATCTTTTCTTAATCTCAGCTATACCACACTACTTCAGGTAAGCTGGACTTATTAACCATAGTTGTACCTAGTACGTCAGGTTAACAACTAGATAAAGTACCTAATTTAACGAGGATCATGTGAGTAAGAGTTTATTAAACAGGAGGCTTATCACTTAGCGATTTATTCAAAGATTTGTGTTAGGGAAATTTAGCGAAGTTTATTTATTGAATTTGTTAGATAATTATTAAGGTAATATTATTAGGTTTAATCAAGTGAAGGTAGGAGGTGTCTTTTCTCTAGAGCCTTCACAACCTTTATTTATAATGAATTATTGCTTTACATAAAAATGACTTAAATATCTCAAGTTTCCGATATACAATAAAACCACATATCCCTACTATATGTAATAAAACTTATCTATAACATTAATACCGCAAATTCTATTATTATGATATTATACTTGATCTTTCTTTTGTGGGACAAATGTAATTTATTGCACTTGACCCAGGACTAAATGTCATGTTACATTTACCCATGATTTTGGTCCGAGTTCACATTTCTTCTCAGCTTATTTTATGCCTCCAGTATAAAATCCTGAGTATATCAGGGTGGCCCCTCCAATGTTTGGGTCGATGACTGACGTCGAGTCGATGATCAACTCTGAATTGATCATCAACATCACTATTGCAGCTCCTCTGGTTATCATGATTATATCCCACCACCTTGTACAGTATCTCTTATCGAAGGTTCATAGCAGTTAAATTCTTAACACCGCTTTAGGTTTTTAGAGTACAAGAGTAATAAGAAACTAAAAACTAATATATAGTTTGTTTTATGTTATTAGACATATAGGTATACTTTATTTTAGATTTGATTTTATAAATTAGGTATACGAGAGTCTTTAGATTCTATACTTTTTTTTTTTTTTTTTTTTACTTTTGAAATATTATTATTACTCGTATTATTCATTAACTACATTCTTCTCCTCAAACACTATATCTGCTACTGATCTTGGTTCTTCAGAGCATGACAAATATATGAGATACAGTTTTTTACTATTTTCTGGTGCCTATATTGCTTGCTGTTTTCTTCACCGTTCCGCACTTTGTATATCTTTTTTCATTTCAACTAACCTACTCCATTTCATCATAGCACTAACATGCCGCCAATTATTATCAGCCTTTTCTGAACAGATCTTTTTAAAAGCCTGTTCAAATAGTTCCCAATTTGATTCTACATAAGTACGAGCTTCTTCGTCTGGATCTTCATCTGCGTCAACAATATAACTATCAAGGAAACTATTAGCAACATGAGTTTCACCGATTTGAGCAGCTTCTTAAGTTTCTGGTGATGTGATATCATAGGGATCATTCAGAACAAGGAATAGAGGTGTGGTTCAACGCTCGAATCCACATCTAAGTAAACGTTATTTTTTTCCATTGAATGTATTTACAGTCTGTCTTACTAAATGTTTACATAGAAAAAAGTGATTCTTAACAAAAGCGGGACAGCTGCAAACCTATCGAGTGACTTCAGTAAAATATAGAGCTTTTGAATCCTCTATATCAATATTTCTTTTTCTTTTATTGCTACGTAACTTACGTAACTTTATTTGTTCTTCATCATTTGCACCTGCGTAGACCCACTCTTTCTTGAAGTCAGCTCACCAGTGTAGTTCTATAATCCTAGCTCGAATTTGTGAAAATAGTTCCTTCTGTACTGGCACTACTTCTTTGAGAAGCATCTATACTAGAAGGTCTAGCCTAGGTTGATTGAAATGTTGTAAATAGTGTCACTTAATAACGCTCCAATGTGCTTCTATTTTCATTGTAGTTTTTCCATATGGTATCACCAGTTTGGTTGACTGTGCCCAAAGATACCATCGTTGTGATGAGTACCAATTGGTCCAAAGATATGACCAAAGCAATCTAAAAAAATAGATAAAAAAAAATAGATTTAATGATTAAAAAAAAAAATAAATAAATAAAAATAATAATTTAAAAAAAAAAATAATAATAATAATAATTAAAAATAATAATAATTTAAATAATAATTTAAAAAAAAAAATAATAAAAATTTTAAAAAAAAAAATAATAATAAAAAAATAATAATAATAATTTTTAAAAAAAAAATCAAAAAAAATAATAATAACTTAAATAATAATTTAAAAAAAAAAAAATCGAAAAAAAATAATAATTTAAACATAATAATTTAAATAATTAAAAAAAAAAAAATCGAAAAAAAATAATAATAGTTTAAATAATAATTTAAAAAAAAAAAAATCGAAAAAAAAAATAATATTTTAAATAATATTTTAAAAAAAAAAAAAAAATCGAAAAAAAAAATAATATTTTAAATAATATTTTAAAAAAAAAAAAAATC